AAAAGAAACAGGTATTTTTCCCTTGAAAACGTAATTCAGCTGGCAGCAGCTGCTGGGGGGTTTGGAGAAGGGGTGGAAGGCACAGCTGCCTTGGGCAGAGAGGTGTGAGGCTCTGGCTGTCAGCAATGGCCACCTGGAGGTGAACTCTGGGCACAGAATGGGGTGCCCACCCAGAGCAAACAGATAAACATGTGCTGTTGGGGTGTGGGGGCACAGAGACAGACAAAACCAAATCCACAAGAGGTCTGAGGAGCATCAGCCTGCTGTCCTTGCTGTCTATTCATGTGGCTCCCATCCTCTGGAATACCAACGGGATCGGTGCTCAGGGTTTGCACTGGTCCCCATCCCTTCTTTCCCAGCCTGCAGAAAGTGCCAGGACCAGGAAAAGGCTCAGACAAGCTCCCCGCATTCACATCTCAGTCTCCTCTCCTAGCTCTGGTGACTACCTCCACCTTCCCCTTCTGAAGCCCATTTTTAATTCAGAGTATGATTAAATTTTAAAATTGCAAATATTTCACTGTTTTCTCTCAGCTGTTAAACCAATATTTGAAGAGAACAGTGGATACCATCTTCCTTGGAAAGTTCATGTATTTATAATATATTGAACCAAAGAGAGAACTACCAAAAATGGAAAACAGGGTGAAAAGCTGAGCTTCACTCTTAAAGAGGAGGAGAGACAAGGATATAGGAATTTCTTTAAAATAGTTTCTTCCCAAGGAGGGATTCTTATGCTCTTTTGCAAATGCCATCTCATGATGGAAGTCCTTGGTCAGAGATTCTTTGGCTTTGAACCCTTAGTACCCCTTTATGTCCCTGCAAGCCAAGAATAAGCTGTAGCTGGTCCCAAAAGGCAGTATGATAAACCATTCAGGATTAGTGACCAATGGAGGTTGTTTCCAGACACCTGGTAGCACTTCAACTATGGATCCTGACTGACTTTGCCAGAGGCAATCTCACAGCCCCTTTAGGCAGGACTTCAGGCAGGATGTTGTGCTCCAAGGTGAGATGAGACAGTGGGCTGTGCTGTGTGCTGGTGCCAGGCCTTGCTGCATGGAAGTGTCCCCCATGCTCTCAGGGTGCTCTATATGAGAAAAGTGTCTCCTGTGTCATCCCAGGGATGCTTCGGGAGTCAAGACAGAGTAACGATAGTGGTTTGGCTGTGAGGCTGCTCTGGAGTCACACAGGAAGGATTTTTCCTTTGACTGCTATGTGGTCCTTCACACAGAAAACCAGGGAAAGGACTCACACTGGCCACCTCAATGTGCACAAATGTGAGGCAGTAGCAGAGAAAAGGGACCCACCAGAGGCAGGGGATGTATTTGATCTCTCTGAAGACTTGTTAACCTGAGGATCACATTCTCAATTACTTGCAGAGTGTGCTAGTCACTTCTACCACACCATTTCTCAGCTGCTAAAGGAGAGCTGGGGCCATTCTACCCAGCTGGTGCATGAGGTCCTCTCTCAGTGCTCAGTCTGGGCCTAAATACATTGTCTCTAATTCAAATTTACAACTTTGTGAGGTGTTGTATTCAATGTACATATTTGTGTCTTGCAGGTTATCTTCAAAGAAGAGAAGGCACAGGTAAGAGTTGAGCAAGTGTGGGTGTTCCCTTAGAAATACGAGTTTAATGGTCTCTTTAAGGTTGATGTTCACTGAGTGGGGCCAAAAGACACTTCTTCTGTGTCTCCTTGTGGAATCCCCTTGGCTTCCCCCATTCCTTTGGGTCTGGGGCTACCCTCTCCTTATTCAACCTTATGTGTTCCTCAGACCTCACAGGAATTGGGTCCCCAGCCTAGCCTGTACAATCAAGTACATAACTGGTGTAACCTCTTGGTGTTACCTCTGGCAACCTCATCCATCCTGCACCTGAACCTTCATTTCTCTTATGGTTTCATTTGCAAACAGTGACCATCTTTGAAACATTCAGAGTCAGTGGCTTCCCAGGTGTGTACTGGAAGAACTCTCCTGATTCTGTGTACAGAAACAAGAAGTTTTCATCTTTTCTGTGTAAAAAAGGCAAAGTCATCAAGTTGGCTGATCCCTTTAAGGGTTTTGGCCAAGCCCACGAGGCAGATTTGTCAGCAGGCACTCGGACCCCCTGTGCTGTGGCAGAATCATGAAACCCTTTCATTTTTACTGCATGCTCTTGGGCAATCTGGCTGTAACATTGATGTGTGATTGTGCAGCTTTTTATCGGAACAGAAATCTCCGAATTAATTAGCCATTTCTTATTTAGTTCTTCAAGCCCCAAAAGTAAGAGAAAGGAAGAAAGAAAACACAAAAAACAGTAAGTAGTGATTCATGGAGTTCCCTGCCCTGCCTGCACAGTGTGGGGCTAGGAAGCGCTTGATGTGGTGGGGCCCCTGGAGCTAACACCTGCTGCACAGCCCTAAGTGACTCTCAGGATTATTTTGTAGCTAAAACCAGCAATTCTGGTCTTGCTGGAATGAAAAAGGGTTTGTAGAGGCCGGAGATCTTTCCTTTCCCTTTCTTTTCTGATCCCTCATTCAGTACTTTCTCTGTGTCTCGCAAGGATGTGAAGGGTCTTGTTCATCCAGTCTGGAGCAGAGACTCCGGCTTTTCTGGTGGGAGCAGCATGAGAGGATGGACTCCAATCTGCTGAAGGGGCAGGCTGGCACAGTCTTACTGGGAAGGGCCTTGGCTCCTCCTGGTTTGCTGCTCTTGGAGGTCACAGTAGAGGCTACTCCTGATATAAAGTACAGCCAAATATTTGAATGGAGCCTAGGGAAGAGAAAGGATTTGTTTGAAGGTGATAGAGGTTGCAAAAATCTGGTGTTGAGGTTCCCATCAGCCCTGGAGTGTTAGCAGAGCACAGTCCTATGGGGCAGATAACCAAGGGGTATGGTATAAAATGGGGTTCCTCAGGGCTGGAAGGAAGGGCTGTAAGCTGCCTCTGTTTTTAACTTCCTTCTTTGTCTTCTCCTGGCATTTGCGGCTTCTGGCTTCTCACCTGCTTTCAGAGCAAGGAAACAGTTCTGAGGCTGCACCTTGGGAACTGATCCCCTGACTGGCTTTGCTGGCACTTGGGATACTCTACCTGAGCAGGCCATTTCTATTGCATGCAGAAAGCCTGTCTCCTTTCTTCTACGATTTCTGTGTGTTCAGTGGCACAGACACCCTTTTTTTCCTCAAACTGGGCTGCCCTGCACTTAAAAATCACAGTGGTAAAAGGGAGGATTCCTAAGTTATCTGTAAAAGCAGGCATCTCCCCAGCCTTACGTAGCAGTACCCTACCAGTGTGGTTAAAGCAAAGATCCAGGTCCTGCTGCTGTGCCCTGACCTCAGGGAATGAGAGCTGCTGGAACTGCTCTTTAGGGATAAACCAGACGAGGCGTTTCAGCCTCATTTTCTGCTCACAAATCAGAGCTGAGCCACTCCCGATTTCTGCAAACCTTATTGCTCCCAGGCGTGGATCAGATGGATCCCATGAGCCATCTCAGATCAGGATTTTTGCATAATCATGTTGCTTTGGCTTGTCTTCGCATCAAGCAACCAGTTATCTAAATCACACAGGACCAGTTTTTCCTCCTGAAGGGAGGGAAAACACAGTGGAGGGACTGGTGCAGAGAGTCAAGAGCAAACACGGGGATTTTCACACAGATCCACCATATGAGGGAGAGATGTTCAGTGTTGCTGATTTCAGCTGTATGGTAATAAGGAAGGCGGATCCCAAAATGTGGAGGTTTTAAAAATACAGGGTGTGAAAAGCATCAAAGGAAACAGCCAAGTGGAGTTGAAGGAATTGCTCTTGGAGGTTGTCCTTTAATCTTAAAGGAGGTGCTGTTCTCAAGTAATTATTTGCTGAGTTTTTATACCGGCAGGTTGCTAAATGCTGTCCAAGCAGGCCATATTCATGCTGTCAGTGACTGTATGGTGTGGCCACGAAGCCAGGCTGTTCCCACCAGCTAACCCACCATTAGCTTTGCCTGCTGGCACAGCCATGCCGGCCTGAGCAGATGGATGTGCTGCCAGGTCTAAAATAACTGCTGTGGTGGGCACTGGTGAGAGGGAATGGGCACAGAAGGTGGCAGGTAGCCTGTCACCGATGTCACCCTGCTCTCTGCATGCAGGACTTCAGCTGTTGGTGCAGGCAAGAACCACAGCCCTTCAGTGACAGGGCCAGGCAATCCATGAGAAACACCCTGGATGGTGCAAAGGGAAGCACAGCAGGGCACTGGACCTGTGTCCCTGTGCATGGTTTGCTGGGGACTGTTCTCAGGCCCTGTCACAAAAGGAAGCAGCAGTGACTGGGCCCTTGGCAGAAGCCAGGTGAATAGTCCTGCCCCTCCAGCAGGAGCCATGCACAGGGCAGGCTGCAGTTAGGGAAGCTGTACTTTGTGTAGCAGCCATGAGAGCTGCCCCGGGACTGGCCAGATGCTCCCACCTGGAGAGGGTGGGGAAGGCTGGGCTGTTACCGAGTGTACTGTTTCACTTGGAGCTTGTCCTTCTGCATTGCTCTTTAACAAGGAGCCAGCACTACGGAGAGGGTTGGAGGTTTGTGGTGGGTTGCCCGGAGGGATGGTGCTCCCTGCAAGGCTCAGCAATGGGAAGGTCTTGGGCTGTTGCCTGGCTGTTTTAGGGTACTTTGCAGGATGAAAGGCAAGCACATAGTTCTTTAAAGTCTTGAAAGCAGAAAGGGTTGGTGCTGGCTGCTGCACTCCTGCAGGCTTGTCCACAAATCTTTCCCCAGCAGGCTACAGAGCCAACCTAACAGCTTGTGTGTAAAATGCTAGCATAGACCTTGGGAAGATGGCAGGCCTTAATGTCGGTGTAGCAATGAAAGAACAGAGAATTTCATGCCTTGATGTTCTGTACAGTGTTTCACACACCAGTCTCTGGTTTAAAACTCAGATCTCTGTTCTGGTTGGAATGTTATTGACTTCAGCCTCCAGCTGCTGGCTCTTGCATCCCCCCCCATCTGTTGGCCTAATGCGGGTTTTCCTTTCTGCTCCTCAAAGCTCTCGTGGGCGCACCCGGAAATCTCATCGCCATCGCCGCTGCCATTCCCGCTCGGAGAGCTCCGACTCCCACTCCCCCAGCTGCCGGAGCAGGTAACGGCACCGCTCCCTGAGCTCAGTGTCCTCAACGCTTCCCTGTGGGCTCAAGGACACGACTGCCATGGTCGGCCTGAGCCACAGGCTCTCTGTGCAGAGCCACGTCCCATTCTGGTAACAGCAGTGTCACATGCTGGGGGCTGAGCTGCTTGTGGTCTTGGCCACAGGAGGGTTTTGCCTCGAGGAGCAGTGGCTGCAGCTTTTTGGTCTGACAGTCACTTCTAATCCCCATGGCTGATGATCAGCCCATGACAGCTGATTCCAGTCTAGTGTCCCTTCCCCAGCCTAAGGGCTCTGTCCTGCTGATGTTCCAGGAAACCATTAAACATGGTCTTAGAAATGGAAATATATTTACCCATGGCAATCTATAGCCACTGTCTTTGACCTGATTAAAATCTCTGTCCTGTGGATGACAGGACCTGGGGCCCACTAAGTGGATGCTGGTGTTAGACCCGGCATCACTGCAACAGCAAGTGGTTTAAACACATCATGAGTTCATGTTTCATGTTCTCTGAAAGCACTTGAAGAACCCACCCCCACTCTCCCACTTCACTCCCTCTAAGTGCTGTGAATTTTCTTATGAAAAGCTGATGATCAGTGGGGGGAGGAATGCAATCAGTAATTGGAGGGGTGCTCACTCAAGAGCAGAGTGTGTCTTGGAGGTGTATCACCATAGGAACATTCTAGGCTGCATGAAGGTATAGCTTGCCTTGAGCCACCATAAAATCATGAGCTGGAGCTAAACTCTGAAGTTAAGGTCCAAAGCCTGGATGCAAAATTATTATTTTTCTTTTAAGACAGAAAAGCAAAACACCCCTTTCTTCCCATTATGACTCCACAGAGCAGTCACGTGGGAGACATTTTCCCCCACACAGTGTCCTGGCACAGAGCTGCCAAGGGTTTGTATGGAGCTGGTAACGGGCACTACTGCAATACTAAGGAATAACATTTTGGTTCTTCATGTCTTCTGGAGGCACAGAGCCAGGTCTCGGGAGGAAGGGCGTAAAATACGGCGAAGACACTCCCGGCACCATTCAAAGATCACTGCAAAGAGAAGCTCCTCTGCAGAGGTTCAGGCCAGTCAAAAAGCCAGCCAAACCCTCCCACTCTACAGCTTCCTGTCTCCTAAGGAAGTAGTAAGTATTATACACTGTCTTTCTTTGCTTGAACTAGCCAGAGAAATCTGGGCAAGAACTCTGATATGAAATTTTTATAACTCAATTATAGTGATGTTAGACAAACTTGGTTAAACTGTATTATTAATTCATGGTGCTGTTCTCCAATGTATGTAGAGTCATTCCTTCCTTCAGCACTTTCACACCAAGGGTGGGGCTGGAGAGGGGAAAAACTTACAAGGGCTTTAGCCTATGAATAATGAATTAAGGACATTTAACAAGGAAAAAAAAAAAAAAGGTGGCCTCCAGCAAGGATATTTTACAGGAAAGTGTTTGTTATGCAGTCTTTGCTCAACTGGATGTGGACTTAATTCACTGGTCTTCACATCCAAAAGTTTAGTCCTTCAGGGTAATAGAGGGTATCAAACATATATAAAAGGAACATTTACATTTAATGAGTTGCTGATTATTGGCAGGGGATGTTTTCTGACTATCAGGATCCTTCTAGGATCACTGTTGCTCTGGACTGACAAGCCCAGGGGCCAAATTCAGACCTTATGAGTAGCCCTCATTGATGCTAATGGGAACTGCATGTGCAGCTGAGGGTAAAATCAGAATCAGTGCCTTGGGATGTTTTTCCATATATATGGAAAGAGATGATATAATACAAGAATTGAGGGAGCAAGAGGTGGAGGGAAATATTAGCTACAGATTGATATCAGTCTTCCTTTTCCGTGACACGTTTCCCATTTGTTCCTGGCAGCAGCAAAGCAGAGGTGTGATGCTCTTTGACTGTGCTGTTAGCATCAGATAGGCATTCTGGAGAGATTAAATTGCTACATAGGACTGGAGGTAGTGGAGAATCTTGTACTCACATGTGTGGATGTGTAATGCTAGAGGTGTTCTGAGTACAGAGTCCTCCAAGCCCCGAAGTGTTTTCCTCCTTCAGGCCCAGTCATCAGTTGGAAATAGCTCAGCCACACGCAGGAGCTACATCAGATATGAGAGAAATAGTGCCAGCAGGAGGAGAGACTCTACCCACACAGACAGCGTGCCCATCAAAATACAGAGGGATTGTACGTGGGCACAGACAGGCACAAGCTGTCTCTCAGCATTATAGACGTGCCTATTTGCTCTCGTTATAGAGGCTCCTGAGCGTGTGGGGCCATGTGAGTCACTGCTGGGAAAGCCTTATAAGGCAGCGTGGAGAGCAGAACCCGCACACCACACGTTGATGTGTGTGTGCAGAAAAACAAGGTATGCCACGAGTTGGGGGTGTTGCCCTCTGTCAGCTTGAGAAGGTAGGAATGAGTTTAAGAGCTCCTCCCAACAACGAACCAGCCAAAGACTGCATCGTGTCACCAGGGTGTTGTTTGGTTCAAACTGCGTATTTTACATAAATGCTTTTGAGCCTAAGCCTGGTTTTTAATTAGTACTAGGTTTACTCTCTCTGAAGCCAGGCTCCCTGAGTCCTGTGAGGCCAACTGCCAGCTGTTCTGTTTCCTGAGAAAGAGTAAACTCTAATTTAAAATTTTAAAAGCTTTAAAATGAGCTAAACTCAAGCATGCTGCACTCCCCTTTCCCCTATTTTCACTTGAGGTAAATGAGCACACAAGCTGCAGGGCAGGAAAAATCAGAGCTTGACAGTTCCAGATGCAGGGAGTGGATGCAAAGTAAAAGTCATCAGGACCCTCCTGTATTCTTTCTAGTGAGGGTGAATAACACAGGCAAATATTTCAGTGACTAAAAGACATCATCACTGATGCAAGCCACTCTTCTCCTTCTGTCCCCAAAAGAAATACAGTCTCCCGGGACAGCATTCAAGAGCATATTTAAGCAGTTGTTTAAACTGAACAAGTTAAGAGCTGCCCCTGAAATTTTTCTGAATAAGATCATTAAATATCATGTACTCAAAACTGGCAAGGGAAAAATGGAGACCTTAAGTCTCATTTATTAATGACTATACGCAACCCTTTGATGCCTCTCCTCTTTGTGAGTTAAATGGTTGCTCTATTAATAAGCTTAGTTCTGTCAGGCTCCACTTTGAGAGCAGCCTGGATGCGTTCTTGAGTGAAACTGTGCTCTCGCAGAAAATGCTGATCACATATCAAAAATAAATTACTGGAAAATAAAGGATTTTGTGGGGGAAAAAAAAAAAGCCAGAAGTGGTATTCAAAAATGCCATGTTTCAGTCCTCTATGAGGGTTGGTTTGTCCCATTTCCTAGCCTTCCATTTGGCCTGGGCTTCCAAACCCTTACCCAGGGAGATGCAGTGTCATATCTCCAAAGGAAAGGGATTGTCCAGGGAGGATCTCAACATACAGAAAAGACCCAGAGAGACAATACACAAACTCCCATGAGGTACTGCTACAGCACTTCCAAAGCGCAGGGTTTGCTTTTTGAACAATTGTTTTTCTTCTGAAAATTTGATGTGCTTGGTTCTAAATTCTGCATTCCCCCTGCACCGTTTGTCTTCCTTTGTAACAAAACAGGCACAGTTTCTACCTAGGTCTACTTGAATTGATGAGGGACAAAGCACACAAAATAATGCCCTGCCCATGCACCTATCTTGCAGCTTCTTTCCCCCTTTATGCATAAGTTGATGCACACACACATGCATGTACACATCCAGAAACACCCCAAAGTTCCCTGCTACTTCTCCTTTTGGCAGTGAATTTCCAAGCTTCTCCCTCTCTTTTTCCTTTAATCCCCTGCAGCTGCAGTAGCCACCTACTGAGCACAGGATTGTGGGTCTGTGCCTCAGCATGCAGAGGAGCTGTGGGGAATGTGCAGCATTTATTTCTGTACAGAATGCCCCTAACCTGCTGCAGACACTTCATCCCACACTGACACAGATGTAGGATGTGCCACTGTGCTGTCAGCTAGCAGTGCAATATAAATACCTGCAGGGCATGGATCTAATTGCCTTTGTTGTTCCTGATGAAGATAACTGCACAAATGCATACACTTTCCTTGCCAGCTCCTTTACTTCCATTGTAACTCATTTGTGATGCCACAAATTAACACAGGCTTGAGCCAGATTTCCAGTGAGGCTCAGTGGGGTACGGCTGGTCCAAATGATGCTGTTTGTCTTTGTGCTCATGTCTGCAGGCAAGTAGAAGGGAAATGCTGGGCAGGGAGTGGGATAACCTGTGCTGGAGGGCTCAGGAAACCTTATGTCAGACCTGCATGTTGGCTTGCTGCTGCTCTCTGTTTTCTAGCCTGGGTTTTGGTTTACATAGGAAAAGCTATTCTTTTGAATGTTAGGCAGCATGTTTTTGACAATAAACAGGGCCCTCAAAGAGGAGAAAGGTAAAAGCTTCCATAAATGTGGAAGTTGTTCTCTTTTTTTTCTTGTCCTGTTCTCCACTCTCAGCCGAGGGACTGAGGTTACCCCTCATTATTGTCTGGCAAATCCACAGCTCACTGCTGGACCAGCAGCTGGGAGGAAGGACAGATGCCTGTAGCCATTGAAGGGGTGAGCATGCATCAGGTACCAAAAAAAGGTGGGAGAAGGAAAACCTTTGCTCCAGACAAGTGCCAACCTGGCCCAAGGTGAAGTGGGGACACCCTGGCCTGTGTCACACAACATTGGCTGCACCCCAGCAGGCAGAAAAAGGTCCTTGAAAAGGAACAAACTTTTGCCTGGCATTTTCTGGAGTTTACCCCCAGCAGTGGATTGGTGAGCCAGGCTCTCAGCAGTGTTGCCATCCAGCCCAAATAACCCAAGTTTAGAGCATGCAGGGACAGTCCTGTCATTGCCTCCATGCTCTGGGACTCAGCTTAGCCCCTGTGGTAGAGAAAGCCTCACCCTGAACTCTCCATCTAGCCAAAAATAAAAGGGTATTTTCCCACTCAATATTCAAGTCATAGATTCATAATCCTGCAGAAAAGGGTTATATTGAATTCCTACAGTATTTCTACTTTTTTAAGCTCAGTAAGAAGTTGGCTTTTTAGCTGGGGTAGGTTATCAGCAGAGATGAGCCCATTTCCCCAGGTGAAAGCCTCCCCCAGCCCCCTGCCCTGGCAGGTGGAGGTATCCCAGGCCCAGCCCAGAGCCTCAATCCCCCCCCCGAGCAGCCCCTCAGCAGGTGCTGCTCCCTGTGCCGGCGGCTCCTGGCAGATGTCTGCCCGGCCCTGGCTGAGAGCAGGGCTCACCAGGGTCATGGACACAAGTTGTTTTATTCCTTTCATTAATACAATGCCCAGAAAAGGAGAACAAGGGAGACATTATGCTCCTCTGCAAAAGAAATTAACTCTGCTTTGAAGTGAGTTGCAAAACAAAGAGGAAAAAAAGCCCAAGTAAGAAATCCTCCAGCTTTAAGTGAGGCTGTGCCACGCTGGGCACTGACGGGTCTCAGTCCCTGTAGGGCTGAGAAAATGTGTAGTCATCTCTCACCCTGGGCCTGTCTGTGGCACAGTAAATGGAGTTGTTCAGTTTAATTGGAAGATGAGCAGTGATTGTATTTTTGTAACCTATTAGATCTTGCTGTCTCTTGGTCTGGGACTGCACTCAAAATTACAGTCTGGAATAAGAGTGAAGGCCTCATTTCTCTCCCCCTTCATCTTGATTAAATCATGATTTGAAACAGAAAAATCCAATAAATACATATCTTGGGTTCCCTTGAGGGCAGTGGTAGGTTCCCTGCTGAAAGCTGGAGGAAGCAAAGTTCATGAGATTACTTAATTACTTATTAGAGAGGGGGAGTGAAAATCCAAATGTTCACATAGAGAGAATTAGATTTGTGAAAGAGCAGAATCTTCTAAGACACCCTAGAAAAATAAAAAGCCATTAGAATTCAGAATAACACAGAACAGTGTGATTCAACTGAGCTTTGTGCGGTGTTTTCAGATGTAGCGTTCTGTCTCCATCCTGGGTGGCAGGCATGACTTTCAGAAGCGGTAAAATGGGACAGAAGCAAAGCTGAGGTCATCAGATGGGGACTGTGGGGAACTGGTCTGAGCAGGCAGGCAAGCTGAGCACCTGAGACTTGTCCTGGCTCTTGCTGCAGGACAGCATCCCCTTTAGAGCCCGCAGAAAGCTACTGGCTACAGCCTGGTACCCCAAGGTGGTGAGGCTGGGAGGCTGCTGTGTCCCCCCAGTGCCTCCCCTGCCCCATCCAGGCCCTCCAGCTGTCACACAGACTACGTGTGGGATATGGATGTGTGATACGTGGATATGTGTAAGAACTGCATATTTCACTCATATCCTCATGTTGCCTCTTCCTGGAGTGTTGCTGCCACAGATGTTGAGCTATGGAGAAGCTTGTTGATGCCCCCAGTCATCTGACAGATTTTGTGATGTGCTGACAGCAGTTGCTGCTTTTGAAGGTAGACTTCAACCAAGGATCCCAGGTCCCAGAGTCAGTCTGAAAATCTATTTTAGAAATGCCAAGAAACTGCTGTATTTCTTGGCTGAAATAATGGCCTTTTGGGAGGGAACAGAAGGAAGGTGTTTGCACATGTGATGCTGGGGTCAGTGTCCCTTGGAGCAGCCCTGTGCCCGCTCCAGGCTTTTCCTACTGCTGCATCTGGGGAGTACCTCACATGGTGGTCTTATGCCTGTAAATGGAAGGTGATGAAAAAGCTGCTTATCTCTGGGTTAGGGTTTGCTCTAACACAAACCATAACCCATCTTTTAAAAAAACGTTTGCCACGTTTGAAAGAACAGTTCTGTATCTTCTGGGGTGTGCCTGGGGAGAGTGCAGTGGTCCAGATCTCTTTAGGCTCTGGATGTGAGATTAGGGTTTCAGAAAGAGTTGGTGAAAAGCAGAGCTGGGTACCTGGCTTTCCTATGCTCCTTTGACATTCCAATTTCTGCTGGAGCTGTAAGGACTGATAGAGAAGTGCTAGAGCTGAGAAAGAAGCAAGAAGCAGCACCAGATGCTGAAATGAGGACTTGTAATGTGTGTCTCTTCTTGGTTGGGAACACTTGGGAGATGTTTCTGCATTGAAGTGCAAGCTGGCTAGTGAAGAAGAATCACTTCATTTCCCATGTGTGCTACTGGGGTTCCTGATGCCTGATTTAGGACTGAGCATAACTTAGAAGTTAGTGTGGAATGGGGGAGTCCCCAGCTCCAGTAGGGATTTGCTGGGATGAACTAATTTTTGTCTCTTATCCCAGAAGTAGTAATGTCTCTCCCTGGCAACACAGGAAGTACTTGGAGATCTTCCAGCTCCACATGTTTTCAGAGCATGAGGTTGTTGTGGGAAGCCACCATTCCACTGGCCATGCTGAGACCTGCTGTGTGTGTTGGTAGCTCTGCTCTGGTTCAGCACCTGTGTCTGAGTCAGCTGTCCTTGCCCCAGTTAGCACCTCTTGGAGTAGGCTGAGGGCAGCTCTTCCCAGGGACATGGGCAGGAGGGTGGATGTGCAGGCACCATCTGATGGGATGAAGGAGCTCCATGTAAAACATGACATAAGCTGAGTGTCTGCAGCCCTTCTGAGGGTGAGAAAGCCAGGGGGTCCAAGGCTAACCTCTCCAAAGGGACTGGCTCTGTCCCTGCTGTGTGATAGCTGATCCAGGTCTCCTCTGCTTTTCTTGGCTCAGAACACCTCAGATTGTGAGGGCATGACCCAGGTCCCCAGTGTGGACAGCAGGGCATAGAGGGGGGTATTGTGTGCCCAGAGTGTGACATGAGGTGTTTGAGGGAGCACAGCTTGCTGGGAACATATTGGAGGACTATCAAGAGCGGGGAGCACCAAACCTGTGCGTCCATACTCTAAGGACCCTGGACCAAACCTCATGGGTGGGAATGAGGAGAGCAGAGCTGCTGAGTGAAAGAGGAGGAGGCCACATGAGAACGCAGATGTGCCGGGTCTGTGTTTGGCCCTGTCACCCCACTGCAAGGGCAGGTGTTAGCACTAACATAGCCCCACTCCCAGTGCTGGTACATCCCTGGACCAGCTTAGGTAAATGCTAGTGGAGTTAAAACTGAACTATAAAATACTGAAATGATGTAAATCCCCTTGGTGATGCTCAGGGTTCCAGAAAACAGCCTTCCCCAGGGAACCCTATGTGAGTTTGAGGTCCTTGCTGGCCCTGTTCTGTTCAGCAATCCACCAAAACCCAGCCAGGGTATGGCTGGACCCCCACGCAGAGACTGGCCAGAAGCAGGGTTCTCCTCCATTATTTTTTTTTCCTTCTTCCCTCACTTGATTTCCCTTTGCCACTGCCATAAAACCCAAGGGGATTTAGTGCAAGCTGCGACTTTTCATCACAAGCCATCAGCTTCCAGGAACAGGCCGGGCAGACTAATTTAAAGCAGAAGGAAACAAAAATTAATAATAAGGGAGACAAGCGAGCAGACAAAAAGCAGTCGTGACATTTGTGTAGAGGAGGCAGCAAACAGTTGGCAGTGTGGATTGAAGAGAGGGTTTATGTTTTTTTCATGTAATTTGAGACTCTAATGATGGACTTATGTTGCCCGCTCTTCCTTTTTTCTTACACCTTACCTACTAAAGGAGGAGTTCTTGATGGGTAAGTGGATGCTATCCGCAAGACACCAGGGAATTTATTAGAGGTCACTTGAGCGCATTAGCTATATCTTCTTCAGGGGGTAAAAAAAGCACACAAACAAGTATCTGTCTACCTTTTATTTCCAAAGGGATTTTTCTTTTTTTTCCCCTCACCCTCTTTTTTCTTTTTTTTTTCTTTTTTTTTCCCCTTTTTTATTTCAAAGTGATAAGCTCGTTTATTTGCCAGTTTTTACTTTGTGCAGAAGCCCTTAATTTGATTTGATTTGGCTTTTTGTTGCTTATTTTGGTGACATTCGTTCAGCCGCTTTATTAAGGAAGCTTAAAAAATTCACTCATTTAAGATTTTATTTCTTTTTTCTTTGCAAGGATTATGTAGATTTTGAATGTATATACCCCCCTTTTTTTTCTCTCCTCTTTAAGGTTAAATAAGGGCTTTGTCCTCTGTTATATTTTTTTTATTTAGTTAGTTAGTTATTTTGATTCTTTGGTTGCCCGCTTACTTTGTTGAACTTTTTTGTTTAACATGAATCGCATGCTGATACTCTTTGCATGATCTCTAAATCTTCCCATTATCATAGCAGGGGGAAAAGAAGTTTCTTCTTACTGTGGATTTCTTTTAGGGATATGTGCTTTTGTTTTCTTCTCCTTTCTTCTTTTTCTTTCTTTCTTTCTTTGTTTCTTTTCTTTCCTTTCTTTTTGTTTCAGTGCATCATGATGGTAAAATTTCTGGGTTTATTTAAGAAAAAAAAAAAAGGCAAGTTAAACCAAAAAACCACCCCCCCCCCCCCAAAAAAAATCATTCAAACAATGCCAAATGGCTTTTTTGCTTTCAGATCTCTCAGTCAGGGTCTTCTGCTGACCTCTTTACCAAAACAGACAGCCCGCCTGGCAACCTAACCCGCCAGAACGGAGAGTATCATGAATATGACTCAGGAAACGATACTTCCTCCCCTCCCTCCACTCAAACGAGCTCATCCAGGTCAAAGGACAGCCAGGAGAAAAGAAGTCTAGTCCATGATGGCTTTGGCCATGCCTTCTCGTCCGGGAAGCCCAAACTGGCCAACAGCGATAACAGCTCTGATTCAGGAAATTCCTTCACCAGTTGTTTTTCCCAGACCAAGGGAACAGCTTTGGAAAATCTGTCTCCAGATGCCCAGGGACAAGACCGCAGGTCAGTGATTACCGGTAGCTGCTGCTGGCAGCCAAATACCTGGTGCGTTGTTGCTCTGTATCTCCCGCCCGCTCGCCAGCTGCTGTGGTGAGCCGGCAGGGAGGTGTCTGTGGTCTGGAGGCAGGCAGATACCAATCACACCCACGGTCTTGCCAGTCTGGAGTCCAGAACCCAGCAAGGACCAGTACTGTAGCCTGAGGAGGAAGATAAAATCCAGCCATAACATCCCTGGGCTTTGCTTGCACGGGTGCTTCTGGCTTTAGTGTGGTTAACACAGAGTTTAGGCCTGGGTCAGGCTGTGTCCAGAGCACATTCCTGCTCAGCTGGGCATGGCACATCAAAGAAAAGTTTCACTGGCCTTTCTGGGAACAATCTGAAAGGGGCATCTGGGGGTTGATGCGCTACTTCTTCCCCTCTGCCTACTGAGGGGAAGGGAAGCAGGATTTGTTTTCACTAAAACCATTATGGGCTGTTCTTTCACCTGTCCAATGAAGCAAACCCAACCTGCCCCCTTCCCAGCTCATCCAGGACTGGTCCAGGGTGAAAAGATAGCATCTTCTGCTAGTGGAGAGCACAGGGAGGGGCAAGTACCTCGCTGGCTGCAGGATATCACAGCAGCAGCACTGGGGCCACAGTGCTTGGCATCCAGGCTTGGGCAGGAGTCAAACCACCACCCAGTGCCACAGGTCATCCTCAGGAGAGAGGAGTAGCTGCTGGCCTCCAACATTGCCTCCCATTCCTGGAGATTTGCCAGGGGATGTTGGGGGTGAGGACACTGAAACTTGGTGGCTGGTACTCAAGGCTGTGCTCAGGCAGTGGTGTTAGGGAACTCTTCCAGCTCAGGCCCTTGGGTCCTAAAGGCTGGAAGTTAGAGCCAGGATATGATCTGGGAGTGGGAGCCAGGGGAATGGGTGCTAGGAAGAACAAGCTTTGTTTTTCAGTCAGAGGGTAAAATTTTAGGGCTGTATGTACTTATCACATTGTGACTCCAGTGGGATAACTCTGCCTTCACATGGGTGGAGCTGGGATTGCAGCTGGCCCTGGCTGCTGGGAGGCTGCCTGGCTGCTGGGCTCTTGACCCCAGTTAATTCCCTGGGCACTTCTGTGCCTGGAAGAGGAGGAATCCACGCAGCGCTGTCCAAAGGCAACAGGACATGCCTGCTCAGTGTCCACTCATGCTGCTCCACAGCCAGGCTGGAGCAGAGCCCCCTGCCCTGCCATGCTCTGCCTTTCCCTCACTCTAGCACTTCTCACCTCACTCCCTGCCCAGAACCTGCACTGCTCGCTGGCCTGACCCAGGCTCTGCCAGCCAGATGCCTCTGGTGTGTTTGGCACGGGGCAGATGAGCAGCTCCTTGTGCCACCTGAGACCTCTTCCACAGCCCTTCCCTGGCACAGCCCGGAGGGTGAGCTCTTGGACTCTGACCCACACACATGGGGTTTCCCGCAACAGCAGCCTGGGGAGCCAAGAGGTCTTTTTTACCCCCAGCTGGGGAATGGGAGGATGGGAGTATTTGTTTGCTGGAGCATGGTGCTCCCCTCAGCCAGGGACCAGTCCCAGTTCAGCCACAGCTTCAAGGAGTGTCCAAACATCTGTTCACAGAGGGTGCCTGTCCTTGTGTCTCAGTTCTTCGGAGGAGAAGAAGCGAAACTTGCCCCCATCCCCAACCCACAGCTCCCCGCTCAGGCCGTGCTCCCGCAGCGCGTCCTACACCAGCACGGGCAGATCCTCCCCCGGCTCCAGCCGCTCCCGCTCCTCACACCGCAAGGCCTCTCCCAGGTACTCCCGAAGCAGGTCCTGCTCCTCGGGAAAGAGGTAAGGCCAGCTGAAATGGCTGTCTCTGTGACCCTGGGCAATGTCTAACCCTTGTTGGCTGGCAGGCTCCTTACAGGGGGAGGTGTGAGAGTTTGGGGGGGTGCCTGGGGATCCTCAAGGCTTGGATCTGGCTCACAGAGCTGAGCCGAGCCCGTGAAATATGGGACACCTCTTCCCCCTCACCCAGGTTTGGAGTAGTCTCGTACAGCCTCAGCCTTCAGCCTCTTTAACTCTTTCTTTCCTATCTCCAGGTCTTCCTCACGTTCCCCCAGCTATTCCTCCAAATCCTGCAAAAAAAGTCCTGGGAGTAGGAGTTCAAGGCCTCGTCGGAGCCCCAGTTATTCCCGCTACAGCCGTAGCAGGTACAGCTCTCATGTGATATCTGCTGCCTCAAGCTTTCCCACTGCCTCCATCACTTGGCTGGACTCCAGCATACCTCCAGGTTCTTCCCAGCCCCAGACTGCTCCCTCAGCTTCCTCACTGGGTGCTCTGGTCCTCAGCACTGTGGTGAAAGGGAGCAGAGGGTCATGCAGGAAGGTATATGGCAGTATATTGGCCCTCAGTCCACTGGAGATTTCTCACCATTTATTGCCCCTGGGGTGCTGTTGCAGAGGGAAGAGCCCAGAGATGAGCTGTAGAAAAAATGGATTTTCTGGAGCCAAGGACTGTCTGGTATTGATTCAGGAGGATTTCACACAAAGCACTTTTGGGGTGGGTTGCTGGGGAGGAGACCTGTTTTATCCTTTGCTTTGAAGCATCATGGTCACAGTCAGAGCATGTGGCAGGTGAAGTGGCTGTCCCTCAGCTCCAAGCCCTTGCAGGGGACAGCTGTGCAACCAGGAGTGCACAGATGGCTGCTCTGCTCAGTGGTGTGTGCCACGGCCTCATCCCAGTGGGAGATGCCTCATGGGAAAACCCAGGAAGTGCCCCTCTCTGTCATGCTGGTGTGAATGGTGGGCAGAGCATGAGGCTCTGTCTGGGTCTGGCCACCCAGGAGAAGAGCTCATGTCAGAGGGGGGTCTGACTGCAGCAGGGAATGACATTCTGCTTTTCAGAGTCACGGTTCTGCCAAAGATTGTCAGGCCCTGGGAAGTGCCCCTGTCGCCGGGGCAGATGCCAAGTACCCTTGGGCTGGCACTCACAGGCCTGCAGAGGGAAACACGGTCCAGGCACTCTCTGTTCCCTCCACACTCCTTAGAAAACACACATCTCCAGCTCAGTCCTAGAGATGCCTTTGGGCAGGTTCTTCTGGTATCATCACTGCTGCTGTGAACATTTTGCACCCTTAAAATCATACATTCCCAAGGTTGATTCTTGCAAGCTGTGACAATCCCTGTGCTACTGAGGAGAACGTTTTTTGCATGGAAGGATCAGGCAGGCTCTTGACCTGTAACGTGTTGCTTTGCAGATGGCACTGAGCGGGGTGTATGAAGTCAGCCACGCTCCACAGAAGGGCCTGTACTGACGTGTACGGGAATTTAACAAAAGAGAAAACCATAGCAACACCGGCACTCCTTCTGGCGAGGCGTGAGGAGCCCTGCAGGGATTCGGGGCTGGGGCCCTCGGCTCACGTGGGGCCTTCTGGCAGGGCTGTTCCTGCTGGCAGGGCTGTGAGTGCCAGCTCCGGCAGCATGGCCAACAAGAGCAATTTTACAGAGCTAAATACAGAGCACACCCACAGACACGGGTCCCTGTAAGCCACCTTAGCTTGGCAGTGCAGAGCCACTGTAAGACACTGCTGGAACCCCCAGACACAATCAGTGGTGTCCATCTGTCCAGCCAGATGAGTGTCTCTCTGTCCAGCTACATGAGAGCTCAGGGCTGATGCCACCAGAACACTTAGAGTGGTCCCTTTTGGACATGAGTGCCCTCCACTCAATGGGTCATTGCCTCCACATCCCAAATCCACCCACAAAACTGTCCCCCAGCAGTGACAGTTCACAACCTGTGCCTTCCCCAGGGACCGTGAGCGAGAGCACAAGTACAGCTCCAGTGAGAAGGAGTCGCACCGGGAGCGTGACCGGCAGCGTCGGCGCCGCTCCTACTCCCCCCTGAGGAAGCGCCGGAGGGACTCTCCCAGCCACCTCGAAGCTCGGCGCATCACAAGGTAAGGGGATGCCGCCCCATCCTTCGCACACGGGCTCAGCTGGCGCTTCCCAGGGGGATGTGGGCTGTCCTTGGGTCCCAGCCCTTGCCAGAGGAGGTTTCTCAGGTTTCCCTGAGCCTGATCAACAGGCCCTTCCACCCCTCCCAGAGCTTGGGGATTTCTAGCTAGAGGCAGAGGGAGGACTGGAGGGGGGGTGTGTGTGTCTCATTTACAACAGCTGAAGGAAAAAGGATGCAGTCAGAGCAGGGACTCAGGTGCTAGGAGCATCTCCTCACAGGTTTTTATTTCATCCTTCCCTGTGGTAGATGTCCCACACTGTAGAAAGACAAACATTGACTCCAGCGTTCATGCTGAGGGCTCTTTGGGACAACATCAAGCAGAGCCCTGCCTCAGATTTCATGTTTGGGATGTTCCCCAGGGCTGTAGGTGTGGGTGGTTTGAATCCCAAGGCCCATCAGCTACCTGATCTTTTCCTTCTTTTTCTTTTAAGCAAACACATTCATATTTCTGGGAGTGTTGTGCAGAGCAAACAGTGCTCTTTGGGGATTTTGGCAGTAAATCTGTCCTTGTGTTGCTGGTAACCCGTGTCTCTCTGTCCCCACAGTGCCCGCAAACGCCCCATCCCCTACTACCGTCCCAGCCCCTCCTCCTCCAGCAGTGCCAGCAGCTATTCCTCCTGGTACAGCAGCTTCAGCCGCTCCCCGAGCCGAAGCCGGAGCTACTCCAGCTACCGGACGAGCCGGAGCCGAAGCTGGAGCAGCAGCAGCGCCGAGGGCAGGAGCCGCAGCCGGAGTTCGGGCCCCAGGAGCAGCCGCAGCAGGAGCAGGAGCTATGACTCAGGAGCCAGCTCCGACAGCCTGCGTCGTTAGGGAGTGCCGCTGGTGGCTGACACCGTGTGCCGGCGGCACCTCCAGATTCCTGGCATTCTCCGCTTCCTTCCCACCTACCTGGCCATCGATAGCAATCATCCCCGATACTGATGTGGTGGCAGTGCCGGGTCCCCCTTCCCCGGTTCAGAGTTAAGAGCCCTGGAGCGCCTGATGCAGCCCCTTTGTTCTGCCATGGAGTGGGTGGATCAGTCCCAGCTCCCTGTGCCAGGGCTGGAAGAAGGGTCGGTGCTTTACAGAGGGTCTGTCACGACAGACCTGCTCCATCCTCCCTGATGCTCCCGTCTCTCCATCGCTACCACTCTCCAAAGCACTACCAGCTTTTCCAAAGGAAAGAACTCAGCTCCAGGAACCAACAAATTAACTTCTGTTGGAGGAAGAGACCCAGTTAGGGAGGAGTTTTACTGGAAAGCTTCCGAGATCGGGGGGTGACCTGTCCCCACCAAGGCAAATATCAGGTCCTTTGAGTCTCTCCTCCAGAGTAGCTGCCCATTCTGTAGCAGGCCTTTTCCATAAGAAAATATTTATTTATTGCCACTCAGCCAGGCCCTGCTATAAATAGAAGGCTAGAAATCCCTCCTGACGTAATTTCCAGGGAAAAAAAGGGCTGTTTGCTCTTTCTCCTGCCCTTTCCTACTAAATAACCACACGTTTTGCAGGGTTGTTTTATCCCCCAGTGCTGACTTGCTTGCAAGCAGCCTGCTGAGGTCTGAAGCAGACAGGGGGCTGGTGGGGTACAAGGCAGAGGGGAGCTGCTGTCATGCTGCACTCCGAGGGTCAGGCAGTGGCATGGGAGACAGGGGCCACGTGGTTCCCTTCTTGGAGGAAACCTCGTGCAGTTTGGGTTCAGGTTTTTCTAAAGGGAGCGTTGCCCTTGGAGTGGAACCGTAGGGAGGTGTGGAGACAGCCTGGTTGTGGGGTACAGTGAGAGCACACAGGGTTAAAAGGGCACTGCATGAGCCAGGGGACCCCAAATCCCTTTCCTGAAACACGCAGTAGTTTTAAGCAGGATTTCAGGAAACCATTTCTCCTTGAGCCCTTCAGGCTGCCCTGAGGCAGGACCAGCAGCACAGTAGTGCTGGTGCCAGGCTGCAGCAGGGTTTACTGGTGGCCCAGTTTGTCACCGGGAGGCCAGAGCAGTGCAAGGGGACAGGAAGGGCCCCCCACTAATTGCCTGTTTTTCCAGGGAGCCGCAGGCAGTGGCAGGAGGGCCCTGCCTGCCCGGCCTCCCTGGGCCCTGGGGTTTTGTCTCCCTGCCAGCCCAGCTGCCTGCGCAATTACTGTGTTTTGCCGGGTAACAAAGGCTTCTCCCAGCACAGGCTGAGCTGGTGCTGAGGAGTTTATTTCTCTTACAACACCTGGGTGCTTAGAGACGCTAATTTGGACTTCCCACCCTCCATTTTTCCATCCCCTCCCCTTCCATCCTGCCTGATTATTAACGAGTTTGGGCTTAATGAGTCAAGGAGGTGTGTTGTTTAAATGTCACAGAAAAGGGCTGAGTGGAGCCACCATCTGCAGGAGGAGGAGAGGGGGTAGAAAGGAATGCAACCCTCCCCCAACTAAAGAGTTACCTACAGCCCCCCAGTGCTGCTGGCAGCAGGAAAAGGGCCACAGCAGCAAGTGGAAGAAAGCCAAGTGCCACGAGGTGTTGTGGTGGAGATGGATGATCGCCTCAGCAAGCCTATAAACCTGTTACCTGTTGAAAAGTACAGCAGTGAGGGCTGGAATTCCACCTGGGTGGTACGAGGGGAAGTTTTATGCCAGGAGTCTCTTTCCCCGTATCCTTCCTACTGCTGGTTCCCCTTGTCCTGTGCCTTCAACACCCAAAGTCCCCCCTTTTCCCAGACCCCGATCCCCAGCCTTGCTCTCTGTAGGTAATGTTAGGATGAGGATGGCTGAGGCAGAGGTGGGCACTGGTGTAGTTGGTGGTTTGGTAGGGACATATCTGTCTCCTGGGATGACACTTTCTAGGACAGAGAGAGAAGCATTCCTTGTAGGGCTGAGCAAATGCTCCAGGGCTGTGGTTGAGGGATCAAAGACAGGGTGTTCTTGCAGTGAGGTGCCACTGCCTTCCCTCCTGTGCTGGCCCTGACAGTGGCCCCTTGGCCACCTTCTGCAGTGAGCTCCCTCTCTAAAGGGCTGAAAACCTTACAATTCTTCCCCAAAGAGTCTTTCCCAGTCTGATGCTGAAATACCCTGTCCTTCTGCTCCTGGGGAAGATCCAAAGGCAGTGATGGGAGCTCAGATCCCAGCTTTACCAATGTTTCAGGAGCAGCCTCCTGCCCCTTGGCACCCCGTAACACCCACATGCAGCTGTAGCGAGGAAGCAGCGAGCCAGAAGATCCAAAATTAAGAAGGAAAAGAGGAGGGGCTTTGTGCAACTGGTGTAAATACCAAACACACATCGTGGCTGGGGTTGGACAATGGAAGCACCACACCAGGATCAGCAGCATCCACTCACCATGGGACAGGAGATGACCCTGAGGGTTGCACAGGGCTCTCAAACCTGTCCAGCTGATCTATGTTTCAAGGATTGCATCTGCCTGGACAGTCCATGGCAGCTAAACGTTCCTGGGGTTTCCCAAGCAGACTTGCATAGGATTAAACCTCCTAAATTATTTATTTATTTATTAATTATTATTATTATTATTATTCTATTTTTAATTCTATGTCAGAATGTATGCAAGTGGTCACTGTTACCAGTATTTATTTTTTTTTTTTTTAACATTAAGTTATTTTCGGATTTGTTTGTTTGTTTGTTTGAATGTATCCATGCTGCCGGTCTCATGTAAAGGTTTACAGCTCTGGCCCCTCTTGCTGAGGAGTGACAGTCACTCCTGCTGCCAACGTGTCCCTTTGTGCTCTCTGGAGCAGGGCGGACAGAGGGACGCAGGGGCAGAGCTGTGTGTTTTCACGTTAAAATCTAGGGTCTCTCATTAGATTTGCGCAGGAATGTGATGGATGTGAGCATACAGACGGGTTTGGAGCTGACAGAGGTGATGGCGAGGGTCTGCCGGCCGGCTGAGCCCCGGGGTGTTGGCAGTGCTGCGAGGGGAAGTGTCTCCCGGGCCGTGCTCGCGCCGGCCGGGTGCCAGTTGGCTGCTGTGCTGTTTCCCTTGGCTCCGCAGCCGGTGCTCAACCCGAAACCAATCTGCTCCACAGAGGCACTGCTGGTTTCCCTGGGAGGATGCCCCGTCGCCAGGACTCCCCTGCTGTGTTTATCCCTGCGCAGTGACCCACCCATGGGAAAACTAAAGAAATGAGACTGTGAGAGACTGATCCCTGCGGAAGGTCCTTGCAAAACCCAGTCTGTGTGTGTGTACGTATGTATGTGCACATGTGCATATACATGTGAGTTTCCCTTGGTCATGGTATTTATTTTTTAACTTATTTAAGATTTTTAGTACAACCTGGAACATCACCCTCCCTTGTCAGTGGACAACTGGGGTTTCTGTGAGTTTGTGTGAAGCCCGTGAGCTTTTCTGTCTCTGTGCCTTTTGCCAGTGCTTTTTTTTTTTTTTTTTTTTTTTTTTAATTCTCTCATTTGTTGCTTTTATGGATTTTTGCTCTGAATCCAACATCTCAGATTGCTGCAGGTGCTCTCTGCAAAGAG